CAGCTGCGTGAGTGACAGCTGGCTCTGCCTATCTAGAGGCAGAGCCAGCTGTCCCCGCCCCCCTCCCCCGTCCGTTCCGCCAGTCAGCGCTGGCAGATCGGAGCGGGGAGAGGGGAATCCAGCCCCTCCCCCTGTCATGGCAGAGAGCCGTGACAGGATCGAGTGGTGAGCGAACCCGGTATGTGTTCGCTCACCTCCCGATCTACTGAGCCGACCTGTGACAGTCTCATTGTCACAAGTCGGCTAGAACTATGAGGTGAGTGAAAAGCACTCGCCTCCTAGTTCTCCTTTAACATTCCCAAAAAGGAATGGTATTTAAAGGCTTCAACAAAGCTTTAAAGGCTTAACTGCTTTGCAAAAGCTTGCTGTATACACTGTTGTTATAGATGTGGATAAAGCCGTACAGAAGGTTCACTGGATCTTAATGCCTTGTTCACATGGACTTCAGCTTGTGTGAGAGCAGAGTGTATAGCAAGCGTTTTGCAAAGCTTTCGCAACTTTGGTAAAGGCTTTAAAGCACCTTTCAGCTTCAAGTAAAGAACAGATCTTAATGGGAGTTCTGACTGTCACTTCAATATGCTTCAGCACTACTTAAAGCTTGTGGAAAGTCTGCTTAACATTTATGTTGAACATCCAAAAATGCTTAGCAAATGCTTGCTGTTCGCTGAAGCCCATGTGAAGAAGACCTTACAAGTATAAACACTGTCTACACAGGCCGCCACTTTCTATGCCTTACATCTGAATGGTATCACTGCTTCCTGAGGAAGTGCTACATATAGGTTTAACCTGCCAAAATGGCTGCGGTCACAGTGGATACTAGATAACAAACTCTTTGTAATTAAAGCATTTTTTCTCCATACATGCCTTTTGAGTTTATACTGTGCAGTGCGCAACCTTAAAGTGGACCTATTCAAAATGTAAAATAAAATAAACAATGCAAGTAAGTTGAGTATAAGCCAAAATACACTCTATAGATAGTTTCATATCTGTATAATTCTTTGTAGGATGTATGCCAGAACAATGAGCTGTAACCATAACTTATACTGAAACCATGAAACAGTCGAAATAGAAGGTTGCCTTGCTCTTTTGAATTGTTTTTCGCAGTGAAAATCTGGTTGAAATTGACATGTATGAAGCCAGATAAAAGATACTATCATTTTGCTTGTTCAGGGAAAAGTGACGGGGTCTGCACTCAGCCTACCCCCCAATAGACATGCATACTTACCCAGGCACATTCCCTCGCCACCTCCCCGGCTGTCTAAGCTCCGGGGTCAAGTAGTGTCAAGAGTTTAGACAGGGGGAGAATGTCATGGCACCCCCACGTTGCATTGTTTGGGCCTGGTATTTGGCTGGTTTGGCCCCAGCACTGTCACATTGGGACGGTAACAAGCAACCCCATACCTGGAAGTCCTTCACCGTTAGCGAGGGCTCCAGCACCGTGGGGAGGCAGCGAGGGAGCACGGCTGGGTAGGTATTTATGGCTGGGGAATGGGGTTAACTATGTGCATATACTGTCTTTAAATGACATTTCTCATCAAGAACAGAGAAGGCGAGTGATCTGCCCAGCAATCATGATTCAGAGGCTTTCTCTCAAGCTCAGATTATGTACAACATAAAAGTATAGCTGAGCAAACACATTTTCCAACATGTTGGGGTATATTTGTGTACTAAAGAAGTACTTCTGAGGCCAAGTGTTTGTTATCAGTTTTTGGTTAAACCCTATAAGGTCCCTTTCACACGGACGGTTCGATCGGGTCCAGCTGTCAGTTTTCCAAGCTGACCCGATTGGATGCCCAATGCTAGTCTATGGACAGCCGGGTGTAAACGAATGGGCGTCCGTTTACATCCAATTACCCCGGACCCGGCCAGGTCTGGAAAAAGAAATGGATCAGAGATCCATTTCGCCGGACCTGATTCTGCCGATTTGGAGGTAATCTGATGTAAATAGACACATGTCCAATTACATCTGACTCCCCAAACATCGACATGGAGTCCAGTAGTTTTAGTTCTTGATGGAGGGGAGAACCTGGACGGACACAATGTCACAGAGGTGGCATCCGATCCGTGCTGCTCCGATCAGGAGGGGCCTGTGTGAAAGGGACCTAAGGCTTTATTATTGCAAGTGATGATCATAACAGCTTAGGTAACAGTAATTATTTACAGTTAACTGGACTTATTCAGTTCCATTAAATGTAACTGGCTACTACTAGCTATAACCTGTCCAGGGTGAATGAAAACCTTCAGATCACTACATGTAAGGTTACCCTTATTGGTTGGGTCTGAGTGGTCACATGTGCTACGACAATAAGTTTCATGTAACTATCCAGCACCAAGCAGGAGTCTATGGTTCACAATGGGGCTTATGCACTTACTAGAAAGAGAGAGTGCACGTTAACCAATTCTGTCTATAATTTCCTGAATAGCAGATCTTACACGGACATTTGAATTTTATTCTGTGATATTTGTTTATTTAAAACAAAAAAGTCTTCATCTTGAGAAATCAATATTTTTTAAGCAAATAAGGCTTTTAGAGCTTGAAACCTTTTAAGGTAAGAATGTACCAGTTTGAACACAATTTAGGAATGATTCAGGCTAGTTCTGTCAAGATTAGCTCAAGGTTGTACAGGTTAGGAAGACTAAACTTGCAAATCACATGTTTACATGATATTTTAATTATTGGGTTTAGATAAACGTTATCTTACGATGGCCTGGTTATAGCCCTATTTCAGTCCAACAGAGAATGTGTGGCATTAGTTGAACATGGAGGCACACTAGTAATCTAGCAAAATAGAGCAAATTAGAAGAACCCCTTTTTAAAACGGCCAGCAAAGCTGGCAACATATAACCCAAAAAAAAAAGAATCTAGAGCTGTTATGCAAGCAAAATGTCTTTCTAGAAAGTAATACAAATATTGGAGATGAAATACTTTCATACACATCATTATTTTTTTTAAATATTTTTTTTAACTGTAATAATATTAAAAGAAATGTTGGCGATTTAGTACAAAGAAAACTATCACTTAGAACAAAATTACAGTGTAGGATTTATTATTCAGTAAAATGAGAGAACTGGTTAAAGTGTCTGAATACCCTTACAAGGCACTAGAATAAATGAATGTACCTGCATAGGTCTGCCTAGCTAATACTTTGTGCACAGATATGAAAGGTGAATGTATAGGAAAGCACAAGCTCACAATGTTGGGTAATTATGACAGAACAGTTATGTGGCAGGATTCGGAGTGCATGGACTCTTTTTGTTTTCTGATCATTTGGTCATAAATAAACTATCCAGTGCATCTATACAATAAAAATAAAAAAACACACAATAGAAAGATAAAGCTAAACATTTTATATGTTTTTTTTACCTACGCTCCACCAGACACTTGCATCTAAAAGTGAAAACAGTGCAGACCTGTAATCTTCATTTTAGTTTACAATTTTGATTTGCTTTCCCAATTCAGAAAAATCGAAAGCACTACGCAAATAACTTAAAGAAGAACATTGAAAAGTGATAAAAAGCATTGAGCTTGCTTTTACGTACACAAGCCATTTCTATAACGTGTTCTCTAATGCTACTTTTACCAAGCTGCCGGGTCTTTAGTGTAGCTCTCGGAAAAGGTTAGAACCTCCAATGGGTCAGCAAAAAAAACAATTAAAATCTGTGGACCTAATCTTCTTCAACTCCACTAAAGTGCTTTTATGGCTGTTACAGCCAGTTAGAGATAACCTCTTCTTTCCTGTTCTGGTAATAACATTATCATTGGGACAGGAAGCAAGGGGAGAACTTCCCAATGGGGCCACCAATAGCAATAAAACCCTAGCAGAGGTTTTAACCCTTACCACTATAGTAACAATTAGGAAAAAATGTTTGGCCTTGATGAATAGATGTTGTAAAAATATTAATGGACAATTATGTAAAAGGAGACAATAACAAGAGAAGAAATACTAAAATTGCATCATTTGGAATGATACTTTCTTCTACTTACTTTGGGAGGGGGATATTGGTCCTTTAACATCTATTTTCCCTTCACTCTCAGTGAAGGCCACTGAACCCCAACTACTCTATCAAAATTGATATAGGTGTCAGGGAAATGTGTTGTAAAAGACTCAACAGCCTGAGATCAATGCTGGCAGAGGAAAGAGCTTTAGAACTGGCCAATGTAAGTAAAATAATTCTGCATTTATTCACTGTATCTATTTCCACTCAATATTGACATTTCAGTGCTGGGTGGAATTATTCTTTAAAGTGATCTTGTCTTCTTCAAGTTTTTAACAGTAAATGTCCAGCCTGAGAGCACCCACCCGGGGTACCATTTACCTTTATAAAGCCTCTATGCTTTACTCCTGGACCCTTACTAGGTACTCAATTTCTGGGCAAAATCTCACCGCAGCAGCTAAGCATCACACTTTAATCCAATATCCAGTAAGGCCACTAGGCAGTGGAATAGTAGGTGGGTGGAGCCACGTTCCAGATATTAGAGACATCAAGTCCCTAGTGAGAGAATGCTTTCAGGAGAAGATAATAAAAAGGTAATAAAGGGACACCTGTAGTGCCTGACTTAAAGCTGAACTCCAGCAACATAAAAAAAACTACCCTTGCAGTGGGGCACCCCCTCCACTGCAAGGGTTAAATGCTCATTTTTGCCTTTTACTTACCTTACCTTCCAGCATGTGGGCAGGTCCTCAGCATCCTCACTTAAAAAGCAGGACTGATGGTCCTGCATAGTACATGATGACATCACAGCAGCGACCATCAGCCAGGAAGTGAAAGGTTTTTTTTACTGGTACCCTAAGCAAAAAATTAGTATTTAACCCTTGCAGTGCAGGCAGCCCCACTGCAATGGTATTGTCTTCATTTCCCCAGAGTTTAGCTTTAAGCAGACCTTTAAAAGTTTAAAAGAGGCTGTGAGGTTCGCTTCAAACTGTCAGCCTTTTGAAAATGCATTTGAAAAAAAAATGCATAATCCATATATGTGTGGTGCAACTGATTGATTGAGAATGCACATTCAGACTGCAAAGGTTAGTAGGAAAATACTTTTGGAAATAAACTGTACAAAGATAAAACTGACTTCAAAGTTCACTCAGACATTATTATATAAAGTGCAGAGACATCCATCTAAAGATCCAACAAACGTTTCTATGTCACAAGAGTCTGATACGGGCAGTCTTTGCATAGCAAGATGTTTACAAAGTCTTTGATTACCTAAAATGTCCTCTTGGGGTTCAGGAAGAAAAAGATGCGGAGGAATCCTCTGTTTCAGAAGGCTGCTTTGATCTAATCCTGTTATCTGCCAGACTTGCAGGAGGTAAGTCACCATTGATTCCAACTCTGGGGTAGTGCATGGACCCTAGAAAACAGGTACATATGATTAATCAAAATGTTTTACAAGCAATAAATGCATCCAAAATCTGGCCCTCAGGATCCCCCTCCCCTTCTAACACATTGTTTGCCCCCTTCCTACATTGAAGCACCCTTTGACTCTTAAAAAAAAAAAAATCTGTATACTTACATTTTTTTCTAGGTGTCTTCAGACCAGTTGTGTTACATCACATGCCCTCACCATCCTCTTTTATCTCTGGTGGTGGTTACATCTTAAATGCTGCAGAGGGCAGCACCTGATAGTGTCATGGCGCCAATCCCTGCAGCATCCTTCTGTGAGCCCAGGGCAAGGGGGATGACAACCTGTGCTCACAGGAAGTGGGCTGAATTATGCTGGGTGTCATTAAACCCAGGAGAGGAGCATAGCTGGATCACTAGATCAGTGATTCTGCAGTGGACAGCATCAGAGATAGAGTAAGTAATGCAGCTGGAGTTATTATTTTTACTATTATGTTTAACTGATCCAGGGCTGACATTTTTTATTTTTTGCTCAAGCAAAATTTAGGGGCTTAAAGTTATCATATCCTGAACCCGGGCAATTTAAACTGAGCATATGATGAAAAAATGTCTAAGTAGTAGACATGGTCAGTGAAAATACCAGGTCAAATCAATATAGAGATAAAGGAAGTTAAACTTATGTAGAAATCTACATGAAAAGTTAAGCATTAAATAGCTTCCTGCCTATTGACCCTTTAGTGAGCTAGGCAAACTCTCTAACCAAAAAGAGGGCCTTTTACAAGACAGGTTTACATTTGCAAATAACTTCAGCTGCTGATATCTCAATCTACAGAGCATTTTAAAATTCATCTTTTCTAAAGAGAACGGATACTTATGCATTTTGTCATTATATGTTCAGCTTACACCAGACGAATTCTGTTTAAAAAGATTTGTTTTTGGAATGTTCGTTGATTGTCTAATAGGTAATGGGGTCAAATCGACAATCCATTTCAACCAAAGTGACAAAACAATCAAAGAAGCAGGAGATGGAAATATTTTCTCAAGCAAACAAAATTCTAACAGTCAATGTGGTTTTCGTTCCAGAAACTCCATTTATTCCAAAATCAAATGTTCAAATCAAACAAAATTGTAAAGCAACACTGATGGTCTCTGATGGCATTATCGAATGTTCTGCCGAGACTTTTCATAAGAAACGTGATACAAAAACCTACCAGTGTATGGCCAGCTTTAGAATGGGGTTTACTTTATAGAGTTTTTGCTACAATCTATAGCACATTTTAGCTAAGGCTGGACAGGAATGAGGCAGTGTTTTATGGATTTATAGGCTGAGTGAAATGAGGTGTATAGAAAAGAGAGGACAATGTAGTGCTTCCTAAGTATAAAATAACCTTCAGTATAAAGCCCCAACTGGTGGACATGGGGAAAGAGAGAGAAGGGAGGATTTAGAGAGAAGGTAAGGAAAGGAAATTAAAAAAGTAAAGGAAAAAGGAAATGGATTCATATTGAGTTCTTTCTTTTGGGCTAAGAAAAAAACAGAAGATAAGTGAAGCTTTTTCTGCTTTTGAATGCTTGTTTAATTTTTCCAACATCATTCTTTCTCCAGTTTGAAACAGGATTTGGAGGGGGGTCAGGGGGGTAGAGACAATGGGAACAGGAAAAAGAAACAAAGAGAGAGAGCTTACTATCAGTGTCTTCTACAGGACCATCACTGGCTGCTTCTGTATCAGAGTAAGCACTTCGCCTCCTGTGAGAAGCCCGATGAATTGATATATGTTCCTTTAGAGAATAGGTATTCCTATAAAAAACAAATAGTACATGATCTTCCTGTGAATGTTATGCATTATATTCTTTGTATTTCTTGAAGGATTGGGGCCTTAGCTTAATGTCTTCCACTTAAGGTAAACCTGCTTCTTTAAAACAATACAAATCTAGCAGGGAGATACCCTGGAAATAAAGCATGTTGGTGAGAGGAGGGGTGCAGGCAAAGTGGTAATGGGGGGGGGGGGATTTCCTGGCATTGTGGTGGTGAGGGGGTTGGTTGCAAGGGGGTGGAGTAGATGTCAGCTGTAATTAGAGATGCAGTCCTCCTGGTCAGCAGCAGAGATTGTCAGGGGAAGAAGCACGGGGCTGGCATGGAGGTAGTAAGGGGGTTTGCGTACAGGCACAGTGGGGAATGGTGTCTTCACAAAGACCTGCCAGCTCTAACTCTCAGCAACCACTTGATGTTTGCAGCCTTTCTCTTGAGAGAAGACTGATCTAAGTAGGGTGTAGATGCAACTCTGGAAAGTGGCAAACCATGGAACTTCAAACAGGAATCAGATCCTTCAACATGACCTAATTTATTAATACACTCTGCTCTGTTTAACCTATTCAATGAATTGTTGTGTCACTGTGTTTGCCTGATGAAGGGACCATGTTTGTTCCCAAAACGTTGCTTTTACACTGTGCCACCATGTCTGTATAACGTCTGAATAAAGGAGGCGTTCAGCACATTGGACCTTGGAGTGCGGGTGATTTCTTTTGGACACCTCTTTAAGATTCTGTCTCATTTATGTAGCAGGCTGAATATTAATGTTTACTCTCTTAACACAAGATGCTTTATAAATACTTAAGTGCCATAGTAGTAGAAGATATGTGTTCATACTCACCTGTCTGAAGTGTAGGTGCCTGGGTGACTCATGGATCGCTTCATCTATAAAAACAGAAAAGGGCAATTCAGAAATCTACAAATTCCAAATATGGAGTTGCAAGAAAATAGCTTACTAGCCAATTGTAACCTAGTAAAACTGCACCTGACACTTAGCACACTTAAAAGTCAAATGTCAGACTCATTTCTTTGACAATCATTTCAAAGCAATGCTTTATATATGGCAATATGTTCCTTTTAAACACATGGGTGCACATGACTCCATCAGCAGAACAGACATACATGGCGTACTGTTCTTTCACTAGGAGGCGCACCCGTGTTTTCTGTCTGATTTCTTGGAAGCCTCCATTGTGTATCGCTCCAGTGTTTCCTGCAAGTCCACAGCTGTGGTCCTCTTTGGTTCATACCTACAATTGTAAATCTGTGGTTCTGTTAACCCTATGTTGCCTTTTTCAAAAGCCAAGGGTACAAATAAGAGCACTCAGCAGGTAAGTTTATGTAAGTATATACTGATTTTGCCATATACTGTTACTACCCATAATCGTTCCATTATGTTGCAAAATGCACAGTAAGCCATGAATGGGCCTATGACATGTCCAGACCCAATGTGTTTTATTTTAGCTCACCCTATTGTGAATAAAAAACCTTTTTGGTTTTATAAAAAGAAAATTCATTTCAATCAAAGCCTAACACATAAAGGCCACCCAGCAAGTTCTGCAGTCAATTAATGGGTCTGTTCTATGACCTGGTATTTCTGCATTACCATTTGTATAGGAGAAGGAGATACGGCAGACACTAAGCACTCATGAGGAGGCAGCTGGTACATTTCTGGTTTGAATTTGGCATTTGCAATCTTGACACATTCTTCAAGTGTGGTGATAAAGGTGTTGCAGGTTGCACTGAGCAATGAAGATGCTTCATTCATATTCTATAAAAAAAAACAAGAACATAAACAGTATGTTGCTAAATACAGGCAGATTTTACCCAGTGTCCAAACTTGGAATTGGGTTTGTACTACAATCTATTTAGTTACCCAGTAAATGACATCACCCTAAATCCAAACTCATACTTTTGGCGATGGCTAAACTGGTAGAGCACTCTTCTGCTATTTCCTTCCTGAGATACACTTTATAAGGTGATAAAGTGCAAAACAGCCATTTGTCTCAATTTAACAGGAGATAGTAAGAGATATGTAGAATATCCATATATAGACAGATTTGCAGGATCTATGCCAGGTGATCTAATTTCAGGTACACGACAAAGACAGTACAGCAGATACCTCAGCACTTGGCGATGGCCGATTCTCATCTTGACTGACAAACTCCTGGATGGTGTGTACCTGCTGCATGAGCAGGTCACAATATAGCCGCAGCTCTGACATTTTGGTTTTCAGAGATTCATTGGTTTCGCCGATTTCTGCAAATTAAATCCAAATTTAGTTCTATACAGCTGTCAAAAGAACAATGAACAGTAAGTAAAGTGTTAAGAGTTAATCTAGGGGTAGGTTATGTTTTATAGCGTAGTGAGGGTTAATCATTGGGGTTAGCCTATGGTCATGCCATGGTTAGTCTGTTTTCACTTTATTGTTCACCAGCTTTTTTGGCACCAAAAATCAATGTACTATCCGAACAAAATATGGCCTGGAGTGCAGATTGCGTATACGGGGCAAAAAGAACAGATTTGCTACTGATTTGCCTCAGGACCTGGTATATTATGCATAGGATGATTGAACAAAATCTTCTTGGCTCTCATAAGTGCAGTACTATCTGTTTGTAACCAATTATGTTCTGAGGCTAAAGCAGCTTCATCTCTAAGAAAGGAAGCTCAGCTTTCCCTGGCAGTCTTAAAGACTCAACAATAGATCAACATAAGTCTAAGGGGGCTTGGGGGACTTGGTGGGCTTAGCAAGCCACCACCCTCTAAAAGGCAGTATGGAGTATTACTGTAATCTATGAATCTGCACTGTGTACCTTTCTCTTTCCTGGTCCTGTCATCAGTCAGGCAGGCCTTAGAACTCCCCAACGCTACCAACCACATCTGCCTCTCTGCAGCATTTACAGCTTTGACATAGAAGTGTTGTTCTCCAGGGATGATGAGCTCCATCCTCGTGTTGTCTGTTGAGTGAACTGAAAAATGGAATTGGAACAATATGAAGAAGCAATTTCCTCACTAGGATATTTCTAGCATACCAACATTTATCTGCAACTGATTAAGAATAGTTAGTCCTGAGAATTGGGGGAAAAAGTAATGGTTCTTTCAGCTCATATGCAAACAGTATAAGAGAAACTACACAGGTCAGGGGAAAGGTTGTAACCGGTTTAATGAGAGGTCTGTTATTGCTATTATGGCTAAGTGCAGAAAATGATAATCTGACTGCATAGGGTGCAACCAAAGCAATAGGTGGGGTGTCTGAAGAATTTTTCCAGGATACAGGAATATCTCTCACAGTTATACTTTCTCACAGGTAAATGTTTATTGCATGCAAGCAAAACAAATACTGCGTCAAGCCAGAAGATATGCTTCACAATCTTTTTTGTTCCTGAGCATCTTATCACATAGGAAAGCACACTACAGTGCATGTAAATCTTAACTGAATTACATTTTGCTTGCTAAAGCACTGTTTATCAACTGTTATCTATTTTGTTTTAATAATTTTTCCTTTTTTTATGCTTTCCTGCATTTCAGTGCTGATCTCTTACAGCCACTTCCCATCTACAGTATATGCACTCCAGCAATGGCTGCATGGCATTTTTCCAGGCAGGTTTTCTTTTGTTGACTACAGTGGACCAGGCCTGTGCCACATACATCAGAACAGCTGCTTGCAGTCTCCATTGGGAGAACGCATGAATGGATGACAACAGAGGAGAACAACTGGGAGACAAGAAGAGAATGCTGACACCCTATAACAGGAAGTCTCTGCACAAGGACCTTCATGGCAGGATCAACAGGTATGATTTGAATGGAAGCTATATATTTAAAAATATTAAATATTAATTTTGAGATGACTTTAACATGTTAAAGCTAATGTGAAATGTTAGAGATTGGGTTACATATACTTAAGCACCCCTACACATATTTGACAATAGGGATGTTCACACATCAGCAATGATGCTACGGTGCATTCACTGGTATTTTCTATCATTTCTATACTCAAGCATAAAGAAGTTGGGTGCCTTCGACACATCAATTGCCGGTCAATTCAGAAGATTTAATCTGACTGTTTACTATGAATTTATTTATTTTTTGTACTATTTTGCTACACTCTATAGCATGTTACATAATAATTCACAGTGACGTACCTTTAATTTCACAGACAGCCATTTTAATACTTCCTTTGCTGCCTTTACAGACATCATCTTGGGAATCGTAGTATGAAAGAATACCATTGTCTAAAACAAACCAGCGAGGCTGCCAACCTGAAAACAATCAAGAGTTTCATGAGAATTCCCAGAATAGTTTTTCCAAATGACTAAAATCAATTATTAATGCATGCTGCACCACTATAAAGAAATGTTGATAGTTAAATCTGCATTTACCTTACACCACTATATGAGATTAAGAACAAATCTGCATTTACCGTACACCACTATATGAGATTAAAGTGACATTAAACCCTCAGAATTTTGAACATAAACCAATACTGTAATGTGCGCCTTACTGTAATCCATGGTTGTTTCCCTTCTCTTTGCTGCTCTTTCTTTTAAATCCTCATCTCTTCTCATGCTTGGGGAGAACTGCCCTTTTCAGCTCAGGGCCTCTTCCTGTAGTGCTGGCTCAGGTTTCAAGCCTATACAAACGTATACACAGACACCGTGTATCCATTCCTGAGACAAGGCAGTCTGCTGCAAAACAGAAGTTCTGCAGAGCATGAGAACAGATACAGATTTAAAAGGAAGAGCAGCAAAGAGAAGGGAAAAAACCATGGATTACAGTAAAGCACACATTACACTATTGTTTTATGTAAAAAAATTTGAGGGTTTAATGTCACGTTAAGGACAAATCTGTATTCACTCTACATTAATGTAGAGGGACCGGAATAATTAAAGCTAAACCCTGGGGAAATTGAAAATTATCCTTGCAATGGGGCTCTTCCCCCCCATGCACTGTATGGGTTAAATGCTTGTGTCTGCCTAGGGTACCTTTGCTCCATCGGCAGCCAGCTTTCTCTCATCCCTCCGATGCTCCGCTGCATCCTCAGCATCCTGGTCTACAATGCAGGTCTGCTGGTTCCGTATTGTACGCAATGACATCAGAGTGTGGCCGGCAGATGAAGTTTTGAAGAGAAATGGCTTCAGGGGACCAGTCGCCTAGACAATTACTTAGCTGTAGATCCTCAAATCATCTCTGAATTGGTGCTGACGCTGTTCTTCCTTCTGGAGGATGGTTTATTTTGTTCCCAATGGTCCATGTATGTGTTGTAAAGTAGCCGCCGCCCTAAGCTTGCTCCTGTGATGGACTACAATCACACATTTAGTTTAATAGCGTTTATTAAATTGTAGTACATCATGGGAGCAAGCTGGGAGCACTGGCAGCTTTACAACACACACAGGGACCATAGGGAACAAAAGTAGCCACCCTCCAGAAGGAAGGACAGTGTCAGCACCAATTCAGAGATGATTTGAGGATCTACACCTGAGTGATGCAAAAATAAGCTACATTTTAGTTAAGGTTCTTGAATGCATTTTTAAGGTTTAACTCCTCAGATTAGTTTCACTTTAACCCTACCAGTGCAAAGGCAGCACCTATTACAAGGGTTGTTTTTAAATTTCCCAGAAGTCATCTATAAATCTGCATTTATTACGGTACATGCCACTGTAAGTAGACCGGTACATTAAAAATAAATCTGTCATGAGACATATGGAGCTGCCATTTCTGACCTTCTTCTGAAAAGTTGACTGGTTAATTTTCTGGTCCAGGATTCCGCCACAAGCTACAACACAACATGGATAGTTCTTGTTCTATCTGATTTTATCCTACACCACTGAAAAGGTATATGTATAGTTAAAGCAACTCTGTCACTACAATAAAAGTACTTCTAAATGTGCCCCCGCAAATAGGGTAGTTAATACTTACCTGTCCTGCTGCACACGCCTCAGATTTCCACTGTATTGAAGAGAAGCCACAATTTAACCCCTTTGTGACTGACGACGTACAGTGTACGTCGCCAGCATCGGGGATCCTGGACCCTCGGGTTGCTCAGAGAAGAACAAAAAACCTTCTGACCTTTTGTTCTTATATGGAGCCGTCAATGCCGCCTTAAAGTGTATTTCCACTTTTGTGTAGTGGACTTAAGGTAAGGACTTGCCTTAAATGATGCCTCTTGATCCGATCATCTTGTTCAGCTGTCCCTCCAGCGCTGGTGCTGGTCTCCGATCCAGCGCTGACTTCTCTGTGCTTGTTGACACTTCCTGTCCCACGGAGTCTGTGCGGGTGCACGCTGCTCCATAGACTTACCTTGTATCTCTCCTTGTCTCCCGGCCGAACATCTGAACTGCGCATGCGCCCGCCCCAAAATCCTTTTCGGCCGCCCGAGACTCTTCAGATATTCGGTTGGGAGCGCACGTCGAAGACACAGGTAAGTTTAAACCTGTTTAAAAAGTTTTTTTTTAATGATTTTTGCATATATCTACTGCTCGCTAGCAGTAGATATATGCAAAAAAACGCTCAGGGTTTAATAACCCTTTAATGTTAACTAAATTAACCCTTTCTGTACTTTGCTGGCAGATCTCATCAACAGTTGTAAACTAGATTTGTACACCATTTGTCCCAACAAAGAGTTAACGGTCTAGGAGCAGCGTATGCTGGCTACAAAAACACATCTAAAAAGGTAAGAAATATTTTTTAATTATCATATTTTTAATAGGTATGCTCTGTGAATAGAAGAACACATAACAAACATTAAGTGGGGTATTTGCAATATTGCAAAAGTGAAAATACCCTTTAAACACATAATTCCAGACAAAGTTGTGACTCAGTAAAGGACATGTGACCAGAACCACAAAATATGCATACACACACACACAGGCACGCACACTTCCACTAGACTTAAGCCCGTCACACACTGAACGCAAAGCCGTGCAGAGCGAAGCAAAGCTGTCCGGCACGGAGCTTTGCGTGCACTGTGTGAGCTGAGTGCAGGCAGATGATTGACTGCATCTTCAGCCAATTGGCTCGTATGTAACAACCGGCCAGTGGTCACATCCTGACACGCGAGTTTATACGCGCGAGTCGATTGGCTGAATATGACATTTTTCATCTCGGCACGCTCAGCTATGCGAGCTCTCGCAAGCTGACGTGCCGGAGAGAAAATTAAATGACACACTGCTCGCGAAGGCAGCGTACCACCGCTCCGCGCTGCTTTGCGTGCAGTGTGTCACAGCCTTTATACAGTAAAACAAAGTAAAGCCAAAGGTTAAAATGTGTAAAGGTTTCATTTTCATTCCTAAAAAAAGGTGTTTGTAAATAGAAACCATTTTGAAAATAGGTCAATTGCTTAAACTGAAAAGGAAGAAGTCACAGGTGCTATTAACTGTTGGTTAGCAAGCGATAATCAGATCTCTCATCACTAATGATATAGTACAGGCCTCAAAATTTCCACTCGCCCCCTCGCAATTGGCGAGTGAAAATTGCGGGGGGGGGGCGAGTGGAATGTCAGCAATGGTGCCTTGCCGGCGGAACTAGGGATGGAACACTACCGCCGCGGCAATCGCAATATACCTGTACACTGAGTGGCCAGATTATTATGACCACCTGACATTTGTAGGCAAATGAGCTATAATTAGCTATAATTTGGCGCTGAAGTTGCTAGAGGGCCAGACCATTATAAATAGGGAAGCAGGTTATTTACCACGACAGTAGAAGTGATTTTTTTCTGAAGATATGGGTAAAAAATGCGATTTAACAGCCTTTGAACGTGGGGTGATTGTTGGCGCTCGGAGCCATGGAGTGAGTATCAGCAAAACGGCAGAATCCGTTAAATGTTCAAAAGCAGCTGTTGTTAAAGTGTTTAAGGACTGGACTGTCAGCCGAAAATCTGGGTCTGAACGTGCGAATTGTGGCCGTCAGCGACTAGTCAATGTTAGGGCAGAACGGAGAGTGGCAAGACTGGTACAAGACAACAGAAGGGCAACAGTGCAGTGTCAGATTCCTCGCATCACCTTTCAACATCTCGTGGAGTCACGAGGTGGCCCAACGAAGTCATCTCGTGGAGTCATCTCGTGGCCCAACAAAGTACTGATGGGGTGGTCATAATAATCTGGCCAATCAGTGTACAGTATATGGTAACTTACAGCTCAATATGCAATTTAAATTAAAAGATCTCCAATCAAACAATTTTGTGTTTCAAGAACTACCTGTTTTTAGACTCAGTGATGCCATCACTGGGTTTGTCTGCTGCTCTTTGCTCTGAGTTTGGGAGTTTGGGGGCGTTAGGTTCCAGTAAGTAGAACCAGCAAAAAGTCACTCACACTCCAAAGTCATGCCCAGTCAATCTCCTTATTGACTAATGTGGTATAACGGTCAGGAGTGCGATGGGACATATTGAATTCAGGTTCCAGTAAGTGTCACAGAAATCTGCTTCGGATCTTTTTTTTTTTTAAACATATATAAAAGAACGCATCCTCAGGATCCCTTTAGATGGGCCTGCTTTTCACAGATGGCCACCGGGTGCTGATTGGTAGACTGGTTGCAGGCACATCTAGAGGGATGCCAGGCATGTGTTCTATCACTTAAAGCTCAGGAACAAAATCACTGATGGCAGAGAAAGCTAGTAGCTGTGAGAAGGGGGGCCAACAACAGTACAGATCAGGGGGAGAAGTGTCCGATGAATGATGGAGGTCATTCAGACAGGAAATGAAGGTGGGCTCAAGATAGCAGCTGCAGCTTCAAAGGGTTGCATTGTAGAGATGCAAGAGAAATTGATAATAATCCATTTGAGCACAGAAGAGGACTTGCTACAACTGCAGGAAAAAAGGCAAGGCTGGTGTAGACCTTTAAGCCATGGGTATCCCTCTGTTATGACATTTCAACTTCCCAACTTGCCAAGTTTATATACAAATACTTTCTGAAAATCATTTTTGTAAAAGCTTGTTCACCCCGCAAATGGCATTGCGTGGGCAAGTTCTCTCATGCACAGAGTATCTACATTCTAGCTGGGACACCCTATAATACATGCTCTACAGTAATGGACATATATTATACCATCAATATACCTGCATTGCACAGTTTACAATGTGCACTGTTTCATGTGACTCATCTCAACATAATGAGACAGCTTGCTACAAGCAACAGCTCTGCTTCATATGACAGCAAAAATATGTACTCGCATATGTCGTTGTAGGAGAGATTACCAGGGCCACTTATGCGCTCTTATTAATTGGAACATGGTGAGGATGGCCACAAGCAAGCACATGTGTTC